TGTGTGTGTGTGTGTGCCAGATCCTGACTGGTGAGGACTGGAACATGGTGATGTACGATGGCATCAAATCTCAGGGCGGAGTCAACAAGGGCATGGCCTTCTCTATCTTCTTCATCGTACTCACACTTTTTGGCAACTGTATCCCTTGACAGTGAAAATACAAAAACACATGCACGCGAAACTCGTACACATACTGGAAATGAAGACATTTGCTGTTATATTTTAAATTGTAGTCAATGACTTTCAAAATACACAGCCATGCAAATGATTCATTTTTCTAGTTTATCTAAATCTCCATAGTGCTTATTCTGTAAACCACATTGACAGTTTTTGTCATTTGTTCCAAACAGAAACTGGTAAGCAATCTGTGACAGGGATGGTATTGTAACATGAATGATATTTTGGCTATGACCTTGGTTCTTGTATCATCTGTCCAACACACTATTCTGCCAAGAATGACAGCACACCAAGTGTTTTAGCCAGTTTATTAGTTTATTAGTCAGTTACCATATGTGCATGCTGTATACACAACAATATACACACAAACAAACTCCTACATGCTGGATATCCTTTAACTCTGTGTTCAGACACTTTGCTGAATGTGTTCTTGGCTATCGCTGTGGACAATTTAGCCAATGCACAGGAACTGACCAAGGTACCGTGCAGTCCAATATTACTTAAAATATCCGTAACATTTATTCTCTGAGAGTTATGCTCTACTGCTCAATTAATTCATTTGCATTGTTCCCACCTCATTCATCTCTTGATTTTGATTTACGTCCTAATCTCTCTCTCTGCAGGATGAACAGGAGGAAGAGGAAGCTGCCAGTCAGAAGATTGCCCTGCAGAAAGCCAAGGAGGTGGCTGAAGTCAGCCCACTGTCTGCTGCCAACCTCTCCATTGCAGCGTGAGTTCATGTCTCTATTACTGTTGTGCTCTCGTTTTTGTATCCATTTTAAGACATTTTCACACCAGGCAGGATTTTTTGGGCAGAACATTTGCATTTGCATATCTTTAAAGAAACTCATTCAGCAACTTCGAGTCTAGAGCTTATGTAAGACTGTAAGAAAAGCACAGTATAGTGCACTAACTCAGAGAGCTTACGGAATGAGGAAAACTGAAACCTTTGCCATCTGTTTAAGTTCCAATCCTAACCACATCACTTCATCAGGTATCAATCTGACCATGGCGATGTTATTGCAAAGAGTCAACGTCACAGTTTATGGACATTTAGCCTCATAGCACTTGGCCCACTTCAAAATATATTATGTTAAAATAAAAACCTAAAGCTCACTCCTTGATCTTGCTGGAACCAATCTGACATTTGGAAATGCTGCCGAAATCACACCTGATATTATTTTGGTGCAAAGAAGCACTCTATTGTCCCTGCCTTCAAATTGTTGACTAATCATCCAAAGTGATTTTCTTTTCTATTTTAGTTTAAAGTGAAACAAATTCACACCAGGCTAGGTGCGGAAAGATTATGTGCAGACATTCTGCATGTAAAGTTTTTGAGTATTTTCACCACATTTTCTCATCACATTGGTGTAAAACAACTTGCAGTCTGCAGTCTTTTATATGCACACTCAGCAGCACTGTCCATATGATTCATCAATACAATTAACAACTCAATTTCCTTAAAATGTTACTTTCTTTCCAGTTGTTTAGAATCAGTAGACACCCACGGTTAAAGCTATGTTTTTTTTATCTGACGAGGTCCGTGCATGTACTTGCATCTTCCTCCCTCTCTCTGTCAGCTTCTTTTTCTCCCTCTCTTCTCTTCTTTTTATATCTCTGTCTCTTTTTGACACTCTTTTGTGCCTACTAACACACACGCACACACACACAAGCCAGGGTTGGATTGATCTGGGCCAGCCCTCCTCTGGTCAGGAGAGTCAGAGTCTTTGATCTCTTTTCTCTGTATACACAGGGGTCTTTCCTTTCACTCCTGGTAAAGTTCACACACACTCACTCATAGAGACACACACACATACCACACTGTAGTGTGTCCCTAAAAAAAGCACAACAGGGAGCCCGAGTCTGCTTAGAAATAGCATACACACAAGACACACACACAGTTCTGACCTTTACCGCTTTGATACATCAGCAGCCTCTGCCCATTTCATATCACACTAACATATTATCATACACAAATGCGTTAAACAAACATGCCCAAGAGTCAAATCTCATCACGTGTTCATCATTTTGTGAATCACACTGTTACTGTATGTACTGTACTTCGCCGGGATGTGACAATTTGTGTCTGTGTATCTGTAAACTTTATTTTATCTGGGAGTCCTATTAAGGTTGAATATTTCTTTTTGAATATAATGCACATACCTTTGTGTATTTGTGTCTGTATGGGTCTGAGAGAGAGAAAGTGTGAGTGTTGGTTTAGTTAGAAAATCTATTCTGCAGAAAACGTTTATTTGCTGATTATTTGATTATTTGCTGAAACACGTACCCAGAGAACTGGCTGGTTTAAAATATGACATTTAAACGCTTTATACTTTTAAACTGAAGAGGTTAGGGTAGATCAGATTTTAGTTAACTGCTTTTCTTCAAATAAAATGTATCGCAGTTCTAACAGTGTAGGGCTGCATTGTATGTTACATTCCACTGTATCAGTGTAAATCCAAATCCCTCATGTGCAAAATAGGAAAGACATTGAAATTCAAATGGAGATATTTTTCCAAGCAGGGGTTTTAAACTTGGGAACATCAGTGGTGCATGTAGAATCTCTTAAGAAGAGATTCTATGGTAGGTTCTGGAAGGAGGCTGCTGTGAAAGCCACAGAAAACAGTTGTAAGGCTACATAACACTAACTAGCACCCAAACAGCCATACAGTCTAAACAGACCGCAGGAATACAGTAACAATTCAGTTTTTAATCACTTTACTGTTGTGAGTCTAAAAGGATGGAAGTAGTTCATTCACTACTATGTTTTCAGTAGTTAATGCACTACAGCCTGTGGTAACAGTTTTGGAATTATGCTAAATTAGCTTTTTCATTTAGCCTTGCTGTGTGCTAAACTGTTAGCATGTTTTATAGTAAGTTCTCATTAGTTTTTTAAAACTTTGTGCACTCTTTTGCATTGTTAATCCTCATCAGCATATGCTAACAGTATGAGTACACCACATTTTTAGTGCAATATTTTTGCAATGTGCACAATGTTCTCATGCATGGCAAACACATGGGACCATCATTTGTGAGGGAGTTTTGAAAGGGAGGAAATTATTTTGTAGTTTTATGTAGTGTAATGTAGTGTAAACTTAATATAAAAAAGGAGCAACTGTGGTCGTCAACATAAAGAAAATGGCACTTTTTTCAAAATCATTATAACACTTTAAGACTTTGGAGAACAAGAGTGTAGTTAACTGGGAAAGAGATGGCTAGAAACATTTAAACTTAATTTTAACATACTGTACAGACAAATAGGAACATCAGAAATAACGCTGGGAGTTTGTAAAAGATGCAAAGAACGATCAGGACAGAACAGTAGTAGTCATGCAGGGTAAGTGAGTGATGCAAGCAAGATGAAATTTGTGAGATTGCAAAAAGGAGGACAGGGAAAAATAAATAGAACCGTATTAGATTCACAGATGGAACAAACTGCAGAGGTGAGTGTGTGTGTGTGTGAATGTCTGGATGCATGCTTTGTATGTGTGTGTGCGTGATTGTATGTGAGAAGGGTTGCATTCCAAAATGCTAAATCTTTTTTGGCAGAAATTTTACCATTTGATTGAGACTTGTTCAGTTTTTGTATTTCAGGAATATATTTTCCTTTTTTAAGTAATTCAGTTTTACAAGCCGTTTTATTTAAATAGAGACCATTTTTTCAGGGTAGACTGACTGTTTTTTAAATGGTGGATGGATAGCCCATTTTGGAATGAAATCCTCCTTCTGTTCTTTCGTGCCATCTCACTCACCAGCTGTTTCCCTCCTCAGCAACAAAGTACACAGTGAGTGTCACAACGCTACCGACCCCTTTCTGGACTGGTATTTATTTATTTGTTTATTCATTTCTGAATCCCTTCTGTTGATTGACTTTACAACCATTCCTTGCTTTCTTTTGTGTTTTAGAACACCATCCTTTCCTTGTCCCTTTGTTCCCAACTTTTTTATGAAGTACATACCTGGCTTTCTTTAGCTGTTATTTGTGTTGGCTTATTTTTAAGAGTACATTTTCTGTTGCCTGCACCTCGCAGTACGGCTGTGGCTTTACTCTGGTTGACTTTTGGCCCTGAGAGAAAAGGGAGTTGAAGTTGATTACTGGTAGAAGTTTTGGAGGGTAAGAAAGGAGGTGGTCACTGGCAGTTTTTGGGTGTTTCTTTATCAAAGAGATAAAAAGACTGCTCAGTCACCATCTTTTCTATTAAACTTGGTGGGGATTTTGGGGTGTCATTTTGGCTTTCTGTCCCATGTAAAAGGCGGTTCTTTAAATTGTGTATAGTTTAGTTTGGGTAGATTAATTATAAATTATAACAAATTCTGACCGTGCCTCAGCGTGTCCTCCATTTTGTGTCCCCACATAGTTTACGAACTTAGGTCTGTCCTGCCCAGGCAAGCTGTGTTGACATCTAGAACCTTGTTTTGTTAAGCTGCCCTATTCTATAGGTCCAGCCAAATGACCCTTTAAAATGTCTGTGGCCCCTCAATGTGTCTTTATGTCCTGGCTATTTTATGTACTTTTTATATTTTTGGTGTTGGTTTTCACATCATTCTCATGGCTTTTGTGTGTATATTTGCACAGCGATACATGTCTTCAAACAGGCCTTTAATGCTACCAATCCCCTCCCCTCTCTCTCCGCCCTGCTTCATTTTTGCAGTAAGGAGCAGCAGAAGAACCACATTAAGGGGGGGATCAATAAGTCGGTGTGGGAACAACGCACCAAGGAGCTGAGGAGGCAGACTTTGGTGTCCAGCCGCGAGGCCCTCTATAACGAGCTGGACCCCGACGAACGCTGGAAGGCAAGGACAGGGAGGGAGGAGCAAAACAATGTAAAGGACAAGGCAAACAAAGGCCACTAGACTTGTGCTATTAGTGTACACAAGTGACGGCGATGATGATGATGATGATGATGATGATAATGATGATGACTTATGTTAACATGTTGCTTAACTGGTGTTTGTTGTGTATAGTTGATTATTTATGAATGTTAGATTTGCCATCTGTAATCTATATAGCTGGAAAATAACAAATGTTACTATAATCTAAAGTTGCAATGTTAATTTTACTTATTAACTAATTAATTTAACTTAAAGAAATGTTGTCTAGCTAGAAAGACTTGTGAATTTTTACTGTATATTGTAACTCCTATTGTCTCTTCCGTATCTGCCTCTCTATCATCTCCATGTAGGTGAACTATTCACGTCACATCCGCCCGGACATGAAGACCCACCTCGATCGTCCCTTGGTGGTTGACCCCCATGAGAACCGCAACAACAACACCAACAAGACCACTGCGAACAGTTCAGACCTTTGCTTCAGCCAGAACCATCGCGCTGACGAGCTCCACAGACAGACACGCCTCCACGAACATGGTGGCCAAGTAGGCGGGGGCGGTGGTGGAGGAGGCTCAGGTACAGCCAGGCCCCCCTTGGAGCGAGGCGAGTCCACAGAAAGCAGGCGGAGCCGTAAAGGTGAGCACCACCACCACAGCTCTCATGTCCGATTGGATGCTACAGTGATTCCTGGGCCGGGCTCGGAGGAGAGGCCGTCCAGGCGCCATCACCACACCCGGAGTGGCAGTCGAGGGGGAGGGCAGTCGGAGCACAGGAAACCCAGGTCTCATCGGAAATGTGCAGAAGATGGTGAGGATGGCGGAGGAGGAGCTGGAAAAACAGGGAGACATAAGAGCAAAGGGGTTGACGGAGGTGGAGAGGGAGAGCAGGAGGGAGCTGGCGATGGCGGTGAGAGGAGGCCAAGAAGAAATCGCCATGGCAACCAAACTGACGGCGAGGGGAAGAGGATGTGCCAGCACAGAAGGAAGTATGTCCATTGCACGTGGCTGTACTTATGAAGCAAATCTTTTGCAACAATGAGTTAAGACATGTTTCTGTCTTCTGATGTCCTCCATCCAACAAGTTTATCCTCATTATTTCTTCCCTCTTCTCTCATCTGTCACACCATCCCAACTTTCTTTTTCTATCACCAACTGTTTCTTCTTTCTCCCTCTTACTAGGGATTGCAGCGTCCCTAACCTCTCGACCACACGGCCTATCCAGAAGAGCCTCTCCAGGCAGGACAGCCAGTACAGTGAGGATATGGACAACCTCATGAATACCAAACTGGTCTCTGGCTCCACCCCACCCAGCGAGGGTCATCCTAATCCAGTTCCTAACCACACTGTGGCTCCTGGTTTTGGATCTGCCCACCATCTTGCTAACAGTGGCACTCATGGGAGTTTGGTCACATTAGATAGCTATGGGAGCATCGCACATCACCGTGCCAACAGTGTCATCAGGCTGCCTCACCCTGACTACACAGCTGTAGACATGCCAATTTTTCCATCCACAAATGCCATACTGCAGGGTAAGGACAAAATGGATGTGTTTTCTGTTACCTTGTCTCTTCTTTTCTTGAATAACAAATTCTTTATTTAATTCTTAATTATTTTCACCCCACCCCCCCATTTTTTGATCCAGTCAATAAGAATGCCAACACAGAGCCTCTGCCAGCAAAGGAGGATAAAGACGACGATGATGATGAGAAGGCAGGTGAAGGAGGACCCAGACCCATGCCTCCCTTCAGTTCCATGTTCATCCTGTCCACTACCAACCCGTAAGGAAGATGGTTACAAATACATGCACACACACTCACTTACACTACATGAATCCACACAGGCTGACACAAACATGCATTCTTGAGCCATTCACGCAACATTTGTTTTTTTTATTGATCTTTGGATATAAAGCTTAATCCTAGATGTAAAATGGACCTACTATAAATCCAAAGCTACAACACTTGCATGTGCACACACACTAACACCACAAGGATAAAGATGCAGAGAGCAAATACATTGTACTTACAAAGCATAATGGTATGTAAAAAAAAAAACATGTCTTTGTTTGCTCCTAGGTTTCGGCGGGCGTGTCACTACGTCTGCACCCTGCGTTATTTTGAGATGGTTATCCTGCTGGTCATTGCCATGAGCAGTATTGCCCTGGCTGCTGAAGACCCTGTCTGGCCCGAATCCCCTCGCAACAATGTAAGAATGTCAACCTAAATTCATGTGCCAATTAAGTTGTATGAAATATTGTGTATACATGTTACTACCATACCTATTACTTTAGTTTTTTATTTGATAAGCTGGTTGCTTTTTCCTTTGTTTTATCTGCTGGATCAATTAATAAATAAATCATATAGAGTATTACAGAAAACATATAAATCAAGCACTTAAATCTCTACCATTATTTTGAGTGACAGGATTCACTCAGTGATTTTTTGATTTGTACGTTGACAATTTATAGACCTACACAAATAAATAAACAGTTTAAATTATCATTTGTAAATACTGCATGTACCACCTATTACTTATAGCATGATATGGATTAGATGTTATATATATTTTATAATACACCAATAAATCAACCATATCAGATAATATGATATGTGTATAATATTGTACTGCCAGTAAATTATAATATTAATATAGAATAAATAAATAAATTGCACCTCAAAGTAAAATTAGTAGGTGACATCTGAAAATGTATCCATCCTATAACTCTTTCCACGACCTGGACTCAGCAGCAAAATATTCCCTCTTTCTCTTCATGCAGGTTCTACGCTATTTCGACTATGTCTTCACAGGAGTGTTCACATTTGAGATGCTCATAAAGGTAAGGCAATGTACGGAATCAAGAATCAACAACTTCCTCCAGACGTATCGAGAACCCCTGCCCAAATGAGGAGCAGACACTTTTCATTGCACACTTTCAAGGCCCAGATCACACATTCATCTCCCAGGGGTTCACATATCATAATCGTGTTCTCTTTCTTTGTTGCAGATGGTGGATTTAGGGTTGGTCTTGCACCAGGGCTCTTATTTCCGGGACTTGTGGAACATCCTTGACTTTATAGTGGTTAGTGGTGCTCTGGTGGCCTTCGCCTTCACGTAAGTCTCCCTCCTGCCTGCTGCTGTCCTCTTCCCCCCTTGCTCCTCCTCCTCTCCTGTCTGTCTACTGCCTCACTGGCACCTTGGAGTACAGCATCACCTGTTCTACGTTGTTCACTCATGGCTCACTTTTGGGCTCTCTCTGTCTCTTCCTCTCTCTGGGACTTCTGTCCTTTCTCCAGTCTCCTACCTTCTCCTCTATTCAACTTTTTCCTACCTATGCTTACAGATGGCCAATCCTCTACAGTTGGCCATTTCCTCTGCCTTTTCTCTCTCATTCAACTGCGCTTCCAACAGTCCTGCCATTTCTAAGCCCCTCCACCAACCCCCTATGCCCCAACATGTTAAAAAAAATAGTATCCCAGCATCACCTTCCTATCCACCTCTTCTTCCCCCTGTGAGAGGTGAGGACCACCCTTTGCACCTGTAACCCTTTAAGTGCCCAGGGCGTTCTAGAGTTAAAAGACCCATGCAAAGCCAGGCCAGGTCATGTTGAGCTGGCTCCTAAAAATCTCCACACCCTTCTCCACGGCAAAGCAGGTACTTTAAACCCTACTTAATCTGCATGACTGTGAGGATAAAATACAGTTACATTTGCATAGCCGGGTTAAGTTAAGGCTTAGTTTATGAACACTATGCTGGGTACAAAGCATGAATTGTGAGTTTTTAGGATTTGCTGTAATGCTTTTGCATGGTTGGGGAAAATATAAAGAGAAGCAGACCTTCAGGACTGCAGTAAACATTAAATATAATATGATAGTTCTATAGTTTGAAGACATTCAGTGGAATACGTTTATAATGGTGACGCTGTGTTTCATGACTTTAAAAATCCCATCTGTATTTCAGGAAACAACCATGTCTGTGCTTACATGCAAATGTTTAGTTTTTGTGCTCTTGTATATGGGTTACTCCTGCCTGGGGAAAGGTGGGGGTTAAGATAGTTGATCTGGCAGAAACAAGAAGCTTCCTCACATGGAGACCAAGATACTCTGGCCATTGGATATTGTTTTTTTCTATCAGAAAAGGATTTACTACTTATGTTGGTCCTGCCACATTTTCACTGCCCAAGTAAGTGACCGTTTGTAATTTCCCTCAAAGCAAATCTGCCATGGTATGAGCTTAGCACGACTTTAGCTTGCTATAAATGTCAACATTCATTGGCATTCTGAAGCCTGAATAAAAGTTGGACATCCTAGCCTTATCAGCACCTAAAGGTCCAGTGTGTAACATTTAGGAGGATCTATTGGTTGATATGGAATATAATATTAATAGATGTTTTCATTAGTGTATAATCACCTAAAAAAATAGAATCATTAAGAATGATTGGCTTGAGATTGGGCCTTAGGTCCTAGGTTTCGCAGCCACTGTAATTTCTCCTACCATGCTTTGGAAAAGCGGGCTGACTGTATTCAAATGGTTGCAATCTGCAACTTCACCACTAGATTCGCCAACTAACTTCCGTTCACGACTGATCCTTTTAAGTAAGACATTCACCAAAGAGGGTTCATAGCTAGGCTGTTGTTTTTGGATTGTATTAGCTTGTACAGGTGTAACTGTTGAGGATATTTCCTTGAGTAATAGATCTGACTTGGAAGAATACCACAAATTTCTGAAATTGGAAATACTAGAGGCCACATGACCGTTTTCATTAATCCAACTATGTATTCAAGTTTCAGTGGTAGTGAACTGAAAAGAATCTGACACTCTTTATAGACTCAGGAGGATGAGGATGGTCTACACTGCATCCATGCATCCAAGTTCTCCATATCCATGTATATTGAAATTGAAATGGCTAAGTGACATGAATAATTTAATATATGTTGCATAATGTATTTGATAAACTACACTAGGTACCGCCTTAAGTCTTTATGACTTTAAGTCATAAGTTGTGTAAACCAAAGAAAACCCATTTGCTTTATGTTTTCCCAGCATGGTATCCTCTAACATTGTCTCTTCAGTGCTCCTTTAAACTGTTTTTCTGTCAGTGTGGAGTTTTTACCTGATCACTCAGCTTTTTAACTACCTTAAATCTGTGGAAGCTGAATTGCAGTAAAGCCTAAAGTTGTTCATTATAGCCGAACAAGACTTAAGCAAAATGTCCGTCAGTCCTTTATAATTATCTCCCCTTCTTCCTACCTTTCCTTTCTCCTCGTCCTTCTGGCCTCAAAAATGTTCACACAATGGAGTTATTTCATGTACAGGAGAAAGAAAAGATCCCACCAACTTATGAAGTTGAGAAAAAGCTTTTAGCCTCATTCTAACCCTTCTCATTACAGAGTTACTATTGATTCTTACAATCTCCCCACCATGTTTTTAGGGGAAAAAAACAATGGTTACCTGCTTCTACACTGTAGTTTGTGGCCAGCAGAATCATTACCTTGAAGCTCATGTTATCAATTTTTGAGAAGTCTTGTTGTACAATGGTAAATTAAGATTATTTTTAGTAGATGAATTAGTATCTCTGCCACTTCCCTGGTGGAGTTCTCCATTGATGATTTTGTAGCATCATTAAAAAATATAAAAAAACATTTATTCTTAGGGACCTATTCTGAGTCCTGTTTCAATATGAGCTCACATTGTATAAGTTTTGTAGTTTATCTGTGGGACCTTGAGTACACACTTTGAATGAAGATTTGGTGCTTTAACAAACAAGCAAACCTGTGATATATGGATCTGTCTTTAGCTGAGGCGAAATGTCAGCAATATAGTACGGTCTTGAGGAGGACAAATTATTTTAAGTACAAAGCAAATATAAATTATTTTATACCTACTACTGCTTTGCACAGTAGTACAATGGGACTGAATGCAGGCCAGCATGAAGATGAGAAATTGCTTGTCTATATATGAACTTGGCAGGTGCTCCAGGGTTCTAGTGGTGGTGCCCCATCTATAAGACTGGCTTTTGCCTCCGTCTTTCTCTCTGAATCATCTTTATTTGTGTGTTCTTTCACTAACACTCTTCCCCGTAATCTCTAGTTGTGTATGTAGTACACATAGACCTGTCTGTGTTTCTGTTTGTGTTTATATATCTGTGTATCTGTGTGCTTCTGTCTTCAACTTTGTGTCCTCTAACCTCCTTGTGTTACATATTTATATGTGAGTCAATTTTATATGTGTCTCTATTTCCTCTCTCTGTGACTAATTCTACACTTAATAGGGAAATGTGAACTATGAACTAATAAATAGATGTACGCTGTTAAAATTGCTGGGCAAAATAATGAAAGTGAGCATAATGAAACCTCAAGTAATCACAAATTTAAAAGAATCAAAGAGCATACAAAAACGGCACAGCAGCTAAACAGTTAATATGAGTAATAAATGAGTACCAGAGTGAGAAACCTGCAATTATACAGGCATGTCTGGTACAAACTGTATGTTAACATAAAGACAAATTCACAAACAATCAATTAAGCCAGTTGAACCAATTAAATCTGATTTAGCTACGATAGGGGTTAACGACACTAATGGCTGATGGGGAGATCCGAACCAGTCAGAACAGACTCGCTCACATCTAGATAGTACGTTAATTCAATTGGTGGAAATCAAACAGCACTCCAGAAAGGCTCAGCAGTCTCATTGGAGATGTTTATCGCTCCTTTAATCCAATTAGTCTGGTCTGAGGGCTGCTGGTGTCTTGGACCACTTTTGCCGCCGTCTTGCACATTTCTGCAGCCAGACTCAGATTTTACGTCCAGACAGGCTGCCAACGCAGAGACACTTGCATGATATCAGCTAGAGTTGGGTTAGCTTAGAGGGATATCTTTACATTTTGAGATTTTATTTTTACCAGGCTATGTTTGTTCTAGTAGGCGTTTTTAAATGAGTTCATATGTGGGCACGTTGATCCTCATTAATAGTGAGTTAAGCACTGATGTACAGTATAACTCATGAGGTTTTAAGCTCACAGTTCATCTATGGTTTGGAAACTAGTGCTAATTTACAGATTTTAAAAGTTGGATTTGGAAGATTTTGGTGGAACTAGATGTGATTAAATTATAAATAAATTCAATACTAAAATGTCAGAGATGAAGTACTTTGGTTCTCTATTCGCGCTTTCAGTCTAGATTTTGAGTGTGTGTTTATGTGCATGTGTGGGTTAGATTTAGCAATATGGGTGGGAGGGTTGATCTGATAAAAAAGTAGGCTTTGTGTTCTCTCTTTTTCTCTCTTTATCTCTCTTTATCTCTCATATGGATGTTTTCCCTCGAAATCCCACCTTTCTCTATGTCCCATTCTGTTTCTTTCTCCCACCCTTTGTCTTTTTGTCTATTTCTCCCTTTGTCTCGCTGTCTCTCACCCCTTTCTCATCTCTCCGTTTGGACCACCAGCAGCGGCGGCGGGTAAAGTTCTCTCTCTTGTTCCTCCTCATTTTCTCCTTCTGCACTCTCGGCGCCTGTTCTTCTGATCACACACCTCTGTCCTTTTCATCCATCCCTCATCACAGCTGACTTCTGTACTTGTCTGTTCTTCCCCTTTTTCCATTGTTCACCATGGAACAGCTCTGACTCAAACACAACTAAACCTCAAGTTCAGGTTTTCCAGTGAATCACCCACATAACGTTCAATATTTTGTCCTAATTGCAGGTTAATCACAGAAAATACTTAGTACAGTAAATGTGAACACAACCTAAATCTCCATAAGTCCCCGTAAGGTATCTTCGGGGAAACTGTCAACCATAGACACAAGTGTAACAAAAATAAAAAAAACAATGATGTAGAGTGGTTTACGCACATACACACACTATTACACATGTGTGCACACGCAAAGTGTACACACACAGAACCACCAGAAGTCTACCATCTGGTATAACAGCTGTAAGACACAGGCAGCTGTACACACAGTTGCCTTCTCCCTAAGGATCACTGTCGCTGACCTTTGACCTTAATCTCTTCACCCTAATCTTCATACCGGATATGTGAGAAATTTAGAAAAATCCGGGCAGGATGTTGAAAACTACCATACAGTCTTCAACCATGAAAAGGTTATGATTTTACAAAATAGCCCATTTTGCATCAGTTAACTCCTGTAATTTTTCTTTAGAATCTCATTAGATATTTACTCACTTAGTAGTTCTTAAATTTGAGTTTTTAGCTTTGTGAAGAGTGTTCAGTCTGACTGAAACAAAAGTTTTTTTCCTTCTTCCTCACACATGTACCTAGAAAACCAAAGTGACGAGAAAAAAAGAGGTTTGGCTCAGCATTTCAATCAAGAAATGCTCGCTAAAATATCTGTGTCTTCGCCAAAATGGCTTACAAGACAAGATTCCATGCTGTTCGAACAATGCTGTGAAACCAGCTTATCCTAGTTGTAGTTTAGAGTTTATAGAAATTAGCTGGTTGAGTCATCAAAAGAGAGAGTTTGGCTTTTCATTTAAGCTTTATACACATTCTGACACTACCAAATTGTGACTTATGTTTTAACGTTTAAGGAGTAGTTTTATCTATCTTTAACTTTACAATGTGGAGCATTTCTAAGCCGTCATTAACTTAACAGGAGAGCATTTCACTGTAAGTTACCCGTCTAACAAGGCTTCCTATAGTCAGCTGCTAACAGAAAATATGGGGTTATGTCTCACTGAGACCACGACTAAACTCTCTCTGCAAATGCCTCTGTGTAGAATAGAGTTCTCCATCTCTCAAACTGCTGCTAAAAGAAGGAATATTGCAGCATGGAAAGCAAGGTTTCAATGCAGCATGAAAATATTTCACCATTAGCTGGGCATGTGCAAGCCAAGGCTTTAGCCGACCTTTTAAAGCATTGAAATACATTGCAAAGTATTACACAAGTGTAGCTACTAGATAGCATATCGACAGGAATGACATCAGTTATTCCCGTAGCATGTCCTGTAGATGTAAAATACCACCTAACTCTAGCATGTAGCTACAATGCTAACCTCACACTTAGAAATAAGGCTAAAGCGTAATATGATAGCAATGCTGCATGTGTTGCTATGTATTTAATCCAGACGCAGTTACTCATTTTGAGTTAACTCGGACACAAATACCATCAAAGAATGGCTGCCCACTGCCATTTTGGATTCGAGAAGACTAAGCCTGTCATGTCCACCTGAACCTGCTGACTTTTTTTATTTGTATGTGTGTGTGTGTGTGTTTGTGTATGCACTTGTGTGTGTGTGTATCTGTTTCTGTATGTCGGCGTGCATGTGTGTACACATATAGGGGGAGCAGTAAAGGAAAAGACATCAGCACAATCAAGTCTCTGAGGGTACTGAGAGTGTTACGACCTCTGAAGACTATTAAACGTCTTCCTAAACTTAAGGTATGTTTACATCGAAATAGTTTGACCTCAGATTAGAGTTACCCTTACTTTTCTGGAAGCACGGGGTCTAATCAAATCAAAGGTTTACCATCAATTGTTATTTATTGCATTTTATATCAGTTTACACTGAAAATAACATAGATACTGTATCTTAGACTTTTTAAGTGTCTGTCTGCTACCAGCCATCAGTACAAATTGCATTTGATACCACAATTCAAGATCAAACTACACAAATAGTTTCAATCCAATGTATTTATTTCATACAATAACCAAGTACTCTTCCTCCGGTGTTCTCTTTCTCAATCCTCAGGCTGTGTTTGACTGTGTGGTGAACTCGCTGAAGAATGTCCTCAACATCCTGATTGTCTACTTACTCTTCATGTTCATCTTTGCTGTGGTGGCTGTGCAGCTCTTCAAGGGACGTTTCTTTTACTGCACTGATGAATCCAAAGAGTTTGAGCGCGACTGCAGGTTAGAACATTTCCCAACCGGTCACCTTCTTAATGTTGAATTGAGCCCCTTCATTCAGGAGGACTTGCTTCATGTGTCTCTTTCCCTTCCATCTACTCAGAAACGACTCAGAAAAATATTTATGTATTGTGCTGATGTGATATGTTGTATTTCAGGGGCGAATACCTGGTGTATGAACGCGATAACGAAGTGAAGGCGCAGAAGCGGGAGTGGAAGAAGTACGATTTCCACTACGACAACGTGGCTTGGGCCCTCCTCACCCTCTTCACCGTATCTACCGGAGAGGGGTGGCCGCAGTGAGTACACATGAACTTACACAGTCACATGCAGCACACATGCTTTCTGACAACCTATAACCCTCCCCGTTCGCCCTCTTCCTCTGCAGGGTGCTGAAGCATTCAGTGGATGCGACTTATGAGAACCAGGGCCCGAGCCCGGGGTACCGGATGGAGATGTCCATCTTTTACGTGGTGTACTTCGTGGTCTTCCCCTTCTTCTTCGTCAACATCTTCGTAGCTCTGATCATCATCACCTTCCAGGAGCAAGGGGACAAGATGATGGAGGACTACAGTTTAGAAAAGAACGAGGTGAAGAAGGAATAAGGGAGTGAAGGAGGGTGGAGATAAAAAGTCTTGGGCTGGTGACCTTGAAGGAACATTGTAACTAACTGGGTTTGTTTTTTTGCAGAGAGCTTGTATAGACTTTGCCATCAACGCCAGACCCCTGACACGACACATGCCTCAGAACAAGCTGAGCTTCCAATACCGAATGTGGGAGTTTGTGGTGTCGCCGCCATTTGAGTATACTATAATGGCAATGATCGCGCTCAACACGGTTGTGCTGATGATGAAGGTAAAAGTCTACATGCTACAGACAGTGCCAACAGTAACATAAACACACATCAACTAAACAGCATTAACTACTGACTGTCGAGGTTTACATCTTTCGCTCTTTGTATCTCTTGCTGTCTCCCCCAAACAAAATATTAACACTCATTTGGTTTAACTTATTCAGATGTTGCTTGTACACTATTTCCTCCGATAAAGCCTTTTAATGAATGTGTCTGACTCTCCATTGGGTGAGCTGAACTGTGTGTCACTTTATATGTCTTCATACTACCCCTTCTTTTTGTCCCTGGCGGTGTATGTGTGTGTGTGTTTGTGTCTGTATGTGTGTCTACATTAATACACACTTATCTGTGTGTATGGAAAACCATTCCCTTGTATTTGTACACTGGTTTGTTGGTATGAATGTCTACGCTGCCTGTGTGTGTGTGTGTGTGTTTGTTCATAGTATGACGGAGCTTCTGACACCTATGAAGCTGTGTTAGCCAACCTGAACATAGTGTTTACCTCCCTCTTCTCCATGGAGTGTGTACTCAAGATCATCGCCTTTGGAGTTCTGGTGAGTATATATGTGTGTGGGTTTGTGTGTGGTAAGGCTGTACTGCTCTGCTGTATCATTGTAGAAAGTTTTGAAAATCAGTCAATATTATATGGTATCACTGTATCTACGTATATTTTTAAGGGCTAGCATGCAGTGTATAACAGTTGAGACAATAAAGATATTCTCTGACAGACAAAATGCAGAGCTAAAGCCTGAGATGCACAAAAGCTTAACAAGAAAAACATTCAGCAACACCTACAATTCAGTGTAGATACCTGTACCCTGCCTGTTTTTGGGGAGATTATAATAGTCTTAAGAAAAAGTACTTTTATCTACATGAAGCAGTTCTTGGTAAGAACTATGAGATTCAATATGCCTGCAAGCCTGATAACCAAGACAATAAAGGAGGCTTAGTTGTATAACACAATGGATTTGACAAATTAAATGCCACTCTGTGTCATGTCATGGAGCATGTCTTCACAGCAGCACGGTCCATCATTTTCTTACACTGGGACACATTGTCTGACATGCATTACTGTGGTGAAATAATGAGCTGTTACAGGTAAAAAAAAAAAAAAAGATGCAAAGAAATGGGAAACTGCCATAAGTCAGCAGTAAAGTGTGCAGTCATCGGAGCTGCAGAGGAATGGAAGGGAAAAAAACGAATAGAAGAGATAGTTTAGGGATGAATGTTGGGAGGAGATACAGGATAGAGGAGCGACGGTAATACAGTAATTAGAAGAACAAGAGTGAATGACAGATAGGCGGTAAAAGAGGGAAGCAGAGATTACAGAGGGGGGTGTAGATTAAGCAGGATAGGATTTGAGTCTGGGAAAGTGCACTCAAACACACACTGAACATGGACAATCACACACAAACAACAGCAGGCCTCAGAGACAGACGTCTGTGTGTGTTTGTCAAGGTGGTTTATTTTAATAGCCACCTCCCTTGCGCTCTTCCTTTCCTTCCACTTGTCTAATGCACAGTTTGGCTGCAGGCAGTGTGTAGGAGAGCAAAAACGAAGCAGACCTCGATCTCTCTGTCTCTCTCGTTCGAGTCGCTCTGCTTTTGAAGTGAAAATTAAAACGTCCGTAATCATGTATATTGCCGAGAAATGTGTTTGCACAGATGTATGGCTGGAGTTGATTAATGACACATATGAGAGGGATGTGATACCCTTTTTATGAGAAACCAGCAGGAGTTGAACACGACTTTCTGTGGGTTTGGTTTATGATGTGCAGCGATATACAGTATGTGATGTTTTCTGGCTGCTGTAGTGTTCTGATGCAGTACAAGTTGTCCCTAGCTTGTCTGATGGCATCCGTCCAACATGCCGTCACCGATGGTCCATTTGTCTTATCTAATTTCTTTCTTGTTCCTGTCGGACACTGACATGTATTTTCTTTTCCGCTTTCTTGTTCTCTTTCTCTTTCTGTCGTGCTCTTTCTTCCTCTCGTTGTCTCACTCTTTACCTCCCATTCTCTTTCTGCATTTTATACTTTTCATATTACTTAAATTCTGCATTATCCTTATTCTTTTAATGTGGTCTGTCTATGCTCCACCTCCTTGCACCACCCATTTCTCTGCCAATATTTGACCTGTTTTTTTTTTTTTTTTCTTTCTCTCCCTACCACATCCATGTTCTACATTGGTACTGTCTCATTCTCCTCACATGTTACCTCATCACCCTCACACCTTTCTTATTTCTACCTCTTACTCCCTCTATCTTCTCTATCCCTCTGCTCCACCTCTCTTTTCTGTCTCTTTTCTTCTTTTGTCTACAGAATTATTTCAAAGATGCCTGGAATATTTTTGACTGTGTGACAGTTCTGGGCAGCATCACTGATATCCTGGTTACAGAGCTTGGGGTAAGTAGCAGACTCTGTAGATGTGTATGTTTAAAAGATCTGCACTGAGGAGTCAAAACTGTAAACAGAAAGACATGATATTGTGTTAGCAATGTTTGTTGAGTAAGTATGACTATTTGCTAGGTAAGCTTCAGCATGTGTCTATGGGCTTGTACATCTGTCACATAGCCTAAAAGACATACAGTAGACAAGACAAGGAGTTAGGGGAGAGCATGAGTTAGAGGCCACTGTCGAGTCTTGCAATGCTCAGTCATGCATGAACATCTCTTGGAAGGCTTATATAATTGTCCCAGTTGGTGGAACGTGGAGAGACCAGACTCCAGCTAGCCAGCACTGAGCCACCGACAGCAAGGCAGGAAGTATGCTGACGCTCTGTAGTCAGCCAGCGCACAGCTTCTGCAAGCAACTTAGTAGCCAATCAAATGATCAGATTGCATCTCAGGTGGCCAATAGAGACTTTGCAGTTGCATCAGACATCCTTAAGTAACAACAGCTGAAGTCTTGAAGGTCAATTGGACATCTGACTGTGTCAATAATTAAATCAACTGTACTTAAAAAAGGAATATCTGAAAAGGAAAACGTGGGTCCATCCTTAAAATCATAGCTAAAAGTGATCGGTCTGATTAACTAGACTGTGTCCAGGGTTACATTATTTCTACACAGCACATTAAATTGCATTGAACCAGTGATAGTAAGAAGGGCAGGTAGTTTGGTTAGTCACACAGTTACCTGGCTTGGTGGGATTATGTTTTTTTTAATGTAGTGACACCCATCATCACTTACAAACATCCTTACTGCATTTAGACTGTTATGCTAATGATTGTCACCTGAAAGCAAACAGAAACACAAACTAAGAACCAGTCTAAAAACAAAGGGTAGTAAGGTAGCATATGGCAATGAAACTGTTGATATGTGCGCAAGTCTGTGTGTGCAAGTGTGGGGGAGTGTCATCTGTAGAAATTATCCTAAAGGTGTATTCAGACAGAACATGAGGCAATTTTTAGGTGGCATACCTGAGGCGTTCTACTTCTACTTCACAAATGTACAAATGAAAAGGAAAATGAGACACGCTTGATAACTTAAAACTAACAGCGGAACAATTAGTACATTGGCTGTTTGGAGCAAATAACCTGCGAGAATAACAAAAGGTGAAAATTGGCTTCGTGTTCAGTCTGAACAAAAGTTGCCTTAAAGGGTTGAACTCCTGCAGAATTACAGGTAGAACTGGCAGGAATAGAATACATTAACTGTATTTAAGAGATGTATCAACTTCTTGGATAGCTTTGATCCAAAGAAGTTCAAAAGGGCAAGGGATACCAATGATTCAAGCTCTCTCAAGATTTAAATTAATGCTCCAGTCAGATTATAGTAAATATTTCACTAATTGGTTGGTATGCAGTAATGTTTATTTATTTAGAATCCATATATATTTTTCGAAACAATTCCCTGCTGTCTGTATCCTTGGTATCCCCAAATATATGAATGTACAAAATGTGCAGACAGAAACCTGCTGCTGTACTAACTTGTCTCTGTATTGACTGTCGATTTCTTTCTTGTTTTTATCTTTTTACATGCTTTCTTTAAATCGTCCACAAACTTAACGATGATCTACTGTAATCTACTTCGCCCCACCCCCTTCTCCCCCAACACCTACTACTTCCTGCGATTCCGTCCAATCAAAATGCACTATGAATCCTCTGTGTCCACCCATGACAACCGGCTTGGTCAATATCTCTGGTTGTTCTACGAACCAACCAAAAATCCAAAAATTTGCCGCTATAAACCATATGTCTGCAACATCCACATGTAGATGGTTTGTAATTTTTTGGAGATCTTATTTTAGTGCATCTGTTTTAACTGCAATGTGCATGTTTTGCTTGATCCCCCCACAACCCAAAACCCTCAACTGAGTTCTAAATTATTTTTATTTTTTAAATTAATTTGTTGCCAAGTTTACTAACCTCTCTACCAGCCACTGTCCATTTCATACAGCTATAAATCCTACCAATACTGTAGATCCTTTACTGGGAACTAGTGTTTGGTTTGTAAAGAATAGGATTATATAAAACTGGAATAGATAGCTACATCTATCCATTGAGATTAGCCGTTCATTGTGTGCACATACACAGACACACACACACCCACACATATGACAGTGACTGGGAGAGTGTTTCCAGTAACAACAGGGTAAATCAAAAGCTTTGCTTCTGGCAGAGAGAACAAGTGATGCATGCTGCCCCTTGCATGTCTTTGGCAGGAACCCTTTATTTTCACAACACACACACACACACACACACACACACACACACACACACGCACACACAAACAGAGCAATGTAATACATTCTATATTGTGGATGGATCCTGCATGTGCCTGCTGCCAGTCCCTTTTGAGTACTTCGTCTCACTTCAGTTGCACTTCAGCTGCAGTCTTTTGTTCTACTGTGGTACGTGGTTGAAGAACTCTGTATTACCAATTTCACTTAAGTAATAAAGAATAATTTGTAATTTTTGAAAATAAAACAAATAAATATGAACATGCTTTCTTTTCAAAATCAATTGAAATTGCCACAGACAAAAAAAAATATGAACTTGAAGAAATTACGATATAATGACCTTAGTTGGTCCTTCAACCACTTCTTGCTCTTTTTTGGCTGTGACATCACTACAGAATGTCACATGACTTTGGCAGCCAATCCTATTGGATGGTGCATCAGCTGCCATTAGCTTTGCTTGTTTGCCTTGTATTAGTGCACATCTGCATGCTGTGGGCTTGCTTCATATTAAAATATTGCATATTTTGCCTTGAGAGAATTAGTGCATTTGGTTGTCTTTCCAAGGAAACGTCCTGACATCCCTGCACTTTAACTATTCACCATTCCTACCACATTTACTACTTTGTAACCCAATTGGATGAAACTAGTTAGATTTGGATGATTTCCTTTCCCCTGTGTTGTTTGGTTTGGTTTTGTCTAACTTAATGGATATGAAAAGCTTGTTGGAGCCTTGCTGATTTGAGTTTGGTTTGCTTTGACTTGTTTGGCTCCTGATTCTTTTATTTGTATTAAGTTTGAATCTCCTTCAGTTTGAGTTTGACTGTTTTTTCTCTAATTTTTTTTTCTGTCCTGTCTAAGGAAAGATGTTTGCACGCTTTGCACTAAAACTAACTACTCTTTCCTTTTATTCCAACCCCAAATCCTTCTTTCTACCTTTCCTTTCCCCTGCTCTTCACTTCCCCCTCTTTAACTTTCAATCCTAACCCTTTCTACCCCTCCTCCTCCCTTTGTTTCTCTTTCTCTTTCTGTCTCCCTTTCTCTACATTGTTGTGGCTATACTGTAGAATAATTTCATCAACCTAAGTTTCCTGAGGCTGTTCAGGGCAGCTCGTCTCATCAAGCTGCTGAGGCAGGGAGAAACCATCCGTATCTTGCTCTGGACCTTCGTTCAGTCCTTCAAGGTTCACAACCAATTATACAGCATAGCACACACACCGAAATCATATGCATTCATATTTGCCGGTTTTACAAAAAACCTATCCAATATTGTGTATATATACATAGACAATGCCTAGGTGCAGTGTCATATAGCATGCTCAGTGCATTCATATGTATCCAACCTAATAACAAACGATTATTGTATCTCTCCTCAGGCACTGCCTTATGTCTGCCTCCTCATTGCCATGCTGTTCTTCATTTACGCCATCATTGGGATGCAGGTGGGTGAGAGCCTCAACCATAAAAAATGCTATAGTGCTTTTGGGATACATTAAATATGTTTGATAGAACAATGATGAGGAGGAGGAGGTGGAGGTAGAGAAGGAGAATGAGGATGATGATAATAGTCATAAGGATCTGGTGCATAACAGGTGGAGGAGGAGGAGGAGGAGGATGTTTATAGAAGTGGTGACTGCGGCATGTGTGCAGTAAAGTGTGAAAATCTCAGGCCCTGCTTTAGTGGCAAGGAAGGCCAGAAAGGTCACTGATGAGCAACTGTAGCTTGTAACTGGAATTCAGTGTTAACAATGTGATTGTATTTAACAGCTGTTTGGGAATATTGCTATTGAAGAAGACGGAGAGAGTGCCATCACCCAGCACAACAACTTCAGGACCTTCATACAGGCTCTCATGCTTCTCTTCAGGTGCTGATGAACGTGTGTGTGTGTGTGTGTGTGTGTGTGTGTGTGAATCTATCTGTATATACAGCGCTTGCTTTATATGTAAATATAAAATATTCTAACCTGTTACAGTTTTAGCAGACTTGATATTCCTCAAAAATTGAGCAAAGCTTCTGTGTGTTTTAGGAGTGCAACTGGAGAGGCTTGGCATGAGATCATGCTGGCGTGTCTGGGGGGTAAGGAGTGTGACCCCCTGTCAGGGAATACAGACCCAGAGTGTGGCAGCCAGTTTGCCTACCTCTACTTCGTCTCCTTCATCTTCTTCTGTTCATTCTTGGTGAGTACATACTACATAATCCAATACACTCATCTGCAGCTTGTTATTTCAACTTGCCATCTTCTAGCAAGGTATTCCAAATCCCAAGTCCTCATTCATTTTGTCTTTCGCTTCTTTCGCTGCTTCTTGAGTGTCTCAGATTGTTCTGCAGTTCTTAGCTATAGCTTGGGAAAAAACGTAGCTTAAACTTAACATGCAGTTTCATTAAAACACAATTGTTTGTCAGATCAGAGGTTTAACTTTTATACTTGTGTGTATGTGTGTAGATGCTGAATCTGTTTGTAGCCGTCATCATGGACAACTTTGAGTACTTGACTAGAGATTCATCCATACTGGGACCTCATCACCTGGATGAGTATGTCAGGATATGGGCCGAGTATGATCCTGCTGCCTGGTGAGTGGTAACGTGCACACACTCAGGTGCACATGCACATACTAGCACACAACGCTAATTGGGCAGGCTTTGACACTGACATGATGTAACTTATATGATAAAGTTATATCCATAAACATGTCACATTTCTGGTTGTGTTTGCACCAGTAGTGCACATAAAACCACAAAGTCATTACTTAAGATGTGTATATTCATGCAACGGAATCAGTAACTTCTTAACAATGCAGTAACTGTGTTTTTTATTGTGTAAAACAGCAGAACAAGGTCAAATGATATAGAAAAAATACAAACCACAAGTGCCAACCGGTTAATAGAGCCAAATTTTCGAGCGAAAGAGCTGCAAGGGGGCTGTAACGGATCTGAGTATAACCTCATCAGGCATCTGGTTATCTCTCTCACACCGTACAACCCCCCTCCCGTTCCTCCCCTTTTCTGTAAACTGCCCTGAAATACCTCCCACCCCTTCCTAGCCCTTTTCCCTTTCCTGGAATCTGCATACTGATAAAAAAAACGTAATGTGGCAACGTCTACTACCCAAACAAAGCTGCTTTGTCCAACTCTGTAGTCTAAATGTAGACATGCTACGTTTCATGTATCTGTATTCCAGTGCCTGTGTGTTGCCCTCTTGCTGTCCTGTAGACTGCACTTAGCGTGCTCTAAACAGGGAAAGTAGGAAAGGAAAGGAAATGAAAGAGAAATAAGAGAATAGAAGGCATGATAAAATTTACAGGAAAGATAGATAACAGATTGAAATATGGGCGAAAATGGTGAATGGAAAAATGAAAGAGAGATTTAAATAGTTGATTAGAGGTTATGAAATCATCAGTTATCATTTTTCATAACATTCAGGAAAGTTATTGCTGCTCCAGTTACATTTGCTGAATATTGTGAGTAAATTCCCTCTCCTGAAACTAACATTTTCAACCACACCTCACTGAGTAGGACTTGGAACCCACTGCACAGGAAGCGGAAGACAGGGAACAAAGACACATGGTTGACATTAAACACATATTTAAGAGGGAGGGGATCTGCGCACCACAAGCAGCTATTAAGCATTTAACTGTTTACCAAGCAGATGCTTTTCTACTCAATTCCTTAATTACACACATCCAGCCAGGGGTTGGACTGGAGAGAGGAAGGAAAGGGCTGTTGAGCTAAGAACAAGGAGTAAGAGAAAGAAAATGGAGGCATTCAGTGAAGTGCGTAGAGTGTGTATGTAGGTGCATTCAGGTGTAGATGTGTCTGTCACATACAGTAAACATATTGTAAAGTATTTTCAGATACTGTGTACTTGTCAACTTGTGCTCTTCCTCCCAATGTTCTCTCTTCTTTCTGGATGTGTGTGTGTGTGTGTGTTTTCCTGTGTGTATGCGTGTGTTTCTTAACTCCCCTGTATTCTTCTTGCAGCGGGCGCATTCATTATAAGGACATGTACAGTTTATTACGAGTTATCGACCCGCCTCTCGGCTTAGGCAAGAAATGCCCCCATAGGGTGGCCTGCAAGGTTTGACTTCCATTCAAACAAAATCTCTCAACCACACTTGCTAGCCACAGCATCCAGGAATGGAGTGAATGCCGCTTTATATATTTTTTTTCTTCTTCATTTCAATTTTACAAATTCTTTTCTACCATTATCGACTTGCATTCTGAACTGCTTAGAGAATGTGCGGGACAATGCAGACACCCAGAGAAGCATGTGAAGTGCACTAAGTGAAATGGGGGGGGGGGACCCAATCCACATTAAGAAGTTTTACCACATTGTAAAATCTTTTTTTCTTTCTTTTTTTTTTCCCTTTTCTGAATATTCTTTTCTTTTGCTTGCTGTGGAGCCATGGCTATAATGTAGCAAGCTACGGTTGCCCACTGTAGTGTTGCATTGTTCTTGGTTTTTGGGGGTTGGGGGAAAGACAGAAACTGCATTGACACCCCTTCCTCTTCCTCCCCTCTCTCCTCGTCCGAGCAGGAGCAGCTTGGTGTCTGCTGGCAAGCTCTGCCCTGCTCTTGTGCAAACACACACGACCACACACATATACAGTTTATATATACATTTGTCCTGCTTGCTCAGAATTGTCTTCTGATTCTACAAAGGAACATTTACTTCGCAAATTCCAATCCTAATCTTCCTCCTGTTGTCTCCCTTCCCTGTGTCATTTACTCCCTCTCTTTTTTGACATGACTGTTAGAGAGTACTGTAGCTCATAGAGAAGCCACACAGCCACAGTCTCTCCAAATAAGCCCAATAACCTTGTCTTTCTGTTGTTCTGTTCTTTTACTTTATTTTGGTGTTTTTTTCTTCCTTTCTCCCCCCTTTCTCTCTCGATCTCTGACAATCCTCCTCTCTCTTTTCAACTCCATCCTCTAATAAATCTCTCTCCCACTGCATCTTTTTTCTCCCACTTCCTCCCCCTCTCCATCTCTCCCCTTTTTTTGTGCTTTTGTTAACGGGGTGGTGGCACTGGCTGATGTTGCAGTGGCAGGATCAGTTGCAGGGAAATGTATGACATGCTGAGGCACATGTGTCCTCCACTAGGCCTCGGGAAGAGGTGTCCAGCACGGGTGGCCTACAAGGTCAGAAAGGACCCCATCTTC